CCACATTTTGTACCTCACAGTTTTCCCTCATAAAATTGAAATCATAACATTCGGTGATATATTATAAAAGACACAAAAGCCATGTAAAATCCTTGCACTACAATGCCTGAGGGCGTTTCTCTGCAGTTTTAGCCTAAATCCAGTGTTGGGTTCACATCCCTGGTAGTTTAGATTTGTCACTGCACTCAAATGCCTGCACTGCAGGCTCACGCTTGGGCTGACTCACTGACCCACTACTTGCCAAAGGAGCAAGCAGTCCTACTGCCTTCCTCACCACACACATCTCTCTCTCTCTCGTTTCTTTAGTGCTGACAGCGGTGGCTGAGCAAGCGCTGTCACTTGCATTTGGGGCAGCTCATGGAACTGAGCCAGCAGGAAGTGAGCAGTTCATTACGGCATTAAACATGTACCAGTGAGTAAATGGGTCTTCTCCAGGTGCGCCGTTGGAGCATGGTGTGTGCTCCCAAACACTTGAGTGCTGGGACTGTGTAACTGCTCAGCAGCTGCCTCATGGGAAGCACAGAGCCTCCTGGACATTCTAAGGGCTGAATGATTACTACAGGAGTGATGGAGAACATATTTAAAGACAGGCAGGTTTCTAACACAGAAAAATAGGGGATGTTTGTTCTGAATGCCCCACTTTTAAAATCTACTGCAAAACAGAAAATGTGTGTGAAAATAGCAATAAAGTAATTGCTTTATCATAGAACCATTGAATCATACAATGGCCTGGGATGAAAAAGACCACAATGATCATCTAGTTTCAACCCCCCTGCTATGGGCAGGGTCACCAACCACTAGACCAGGCTGCCCAGAGCCACATCCAGTCTGGCCTTGAATGCCTCCAGGGATGGGGCATCCACAACCTCCTTGGCCAACCTGTTCCAGTGCGTCACCACTCTCTGAGTGAAAAACTTCCTCCAAATATCTAACCTAAACTTTCCCTGTCTCAGTTTAAAACCATTCCCCCTTATTCTACCACTATCCAGCCTCGTAAACAGCCACTCCCCCTCCTGCCTATATGCGCCCTTCAAGTACTGGAAGGCCACAAGCCCAGTTCCCTCAACCCTTCCTCATAGGAGAGGTGTTCCAGCCTTCTGATCATCTTAGTGGCCCACCTCTGGACCCGCTCCAAGAGCTCCACATCCTTCCTGTAATGGGGTCCCCAGGCCTGGACTCCAGTACTCCAGATGGGGCCTCACAAGAGCTGAGTAAAGGAGGACAATCACCTCCTTCTCCCTGCTGGCTACCCCTTTTTTAATGCAGCCCAGAACACAGCTGGCCTTCCAGGCTACAGCACACACTGCTGGCTCATGTCCAGCTTCTCATCCACCAGGTCCCCCATGTCCTTCTCCACAGGGCTGCTCTCAAGTAGATCTTCCCCCAGCCTGTATAAATATCTGGGATTGCTCCAAACCAGGTGCAGCACCCTGCACTCGGCCTTATTGAACCTCATTAGGTTTTCATGGGCTCACTTCTCCAGCCTGTCCAGGTCCTGCTGGATGGCTTCCCTTCCTTCCAATGTATTGACTGCACCACTCAGCTTGCTGTCATCCGCAAACTTGCTGAGGGTGCACTCGATGCCATCATCTGTGCCACTGATGAAGATGTTGAAGAGCACTGGTCCCAAGACCAACTCCTGAGGGACACTGCTTGTGATCAGCCTCCACCCTGACACAGAACCACTGATCACAACCCTTTGGCTGCATCCAGCCAGCCAATTTCTCATCCATCAAACAGTCCATCCTTCAAATCCGCACCTTTCCAATTTAGAGAGAAGGATGTGGTGAGGGACCATGTCAAAGGCTTTGCAGAAGTCCACGTAGATGACATCCATCACCCTTCTCCCGTCCACAGAAGCCGTCACTCCATCACAGAGTGCCACCACATTGGTCAGGCACGATCTGCCCTTAGTGAAGCCTCAACAGAACTGAGTACAGGGGACAATCACTTCCCTGTTCCTGCTGGCAACACCGTTTCTGATGCTAGCCAGGATGCCATTGGCCTTCTTGGCCACCTGGGAACACTGCTGGCTCACGTTCAACTGAGCATCAATCAATACCCCCAGGTCTATTTCTTCTATGCAGTCTTCCAGCCACTCCACCTCAAGCCTGTAGCGTTGTCTGGGGTTGTTGTGCCCAAAGTGCAGGACCCAGCATTTGGACTTGTTGAAACATCCCACTGGCTTCAGCCCAGCTCTCCAGCCTGTCCAGATCCCTCTGTAGGGCCTTGCTACCCCCAGGCAGATCAACTCTTCCAGCCAACATCCGCATACTTACTGAGCGTGCACTCAGTGCCCTCATCCAGGTCATCAATAAAGATATTAAAGAGGGCAGGCCCCAGCACCAACCCCTGGGAGACACCACTCGTGACCAGTTGCCAGCTGGATTTAGCTCCATTGACCACCACTCTCTGGGCCCGGCTTTCCAGCCAAGAGTGTACCTGTCCAAGCCACGGGCTGCCAGCTTCTGCAGGAGAATACTGTGGGAGACAATGTCAATGGGTTTGCTGAAGTCTAGGTAGACTACATCAACAGCCTTTCCCTCATCCACCAGACGGGTCACTGGATCATAGAAGGAGATCAGTTTGGTCAAGCAGGACCTGCCCTTTGTGAATCCATGCTGGCTAGGCCTGATCCCCAGGTTGTCCCGCACATGCATGATCTCCCTCAAGACAATCTGCTCTATAACCTTCCCTGGCACCGAGGTCACGCTAACAGGCCTGTAGTTACCCAGATTCTACTTACAACCCTTCTTGTAGATGGGAGTCACGTTGGCAAGCCTCCAGTCTTCTGGAACCTCAACAGTCAACAAGGAGCACTGATAGATAATGGAGAGGTTTGGTTATCACCACTGCCAGTTCCCTCAGCACTCTCAGGTGAATCTCATTTAGCCCCATGGACTTAGGACAGTTCAGCTGGAGTAGAAGGTCTCTGACTGCATCCTCCTGAATCACGGGGGGTTCAGTCTGTACCCCAGCTGAGACTACCAGGTCAGAGAGTGGAGTTCCCTGAGGATATCTGGTCTGACCTCTAGAGACAGACATAAAGAAGACATTCAGAACCTCTGCCTTTTCCTTAACCTCAGTGATCACATTCCCAGCCTCATCCAGTAAAGAGTGAAGATTCTCCTTAGTCCTCCTCTTACCTCTGTATTTGTAAAAGAGTTTCTTGTTCCTTTTTATCCCAGCGGCCAGGTTGAGTTCAAGCTGGGCTTTTGCCTTTCTGATTTTCTCTCTACACATCTTAACAACTTCTGAGTTGCCCATTGCTTCTTCCAGAGGAGATAGATTCTCTTTTTCTCCTGGATCCTCAAGAATAACTCCCTATTCGTCCACACCGGTCTTCTTCCCCGCCAGCTCATTTTGAGGCTCAGGGGGATAGCCAGCTCCTGCGCTTTTACTATTTCCTTTTGAAGAGCAACCAGCCATCCTGGACCCCCTTACTCTCTAAGACTGAAACCCAGGGGATTCCCCCTACTAGTCTTCTGAATAATTCGAAGTCCACCCTCCAGAAGTCCAAGGCAGCATTTTTGTTGTTCCCCCTCCCGGCTCCACCAAAAATCGATAAGTCTACCATTTCATGGTCACTCTGTCCAAGACAGCCCCTTACCTCCACATCTCCCACCAGACCTTCTCTGTTTGTGAACAGCAGGTCTAGAGGAGCAGCTCCTTTTGTCGGCTCTCTCACCAGCTGCATCAGAAGGTTATCCTCCATACACTCCAGAAACCTCCTAGACTGCTTCTTCTGCACTTGTTGTCTTCCCAGCATATGTCGGGGAAGTTGAAGTCCCCCATGAGGATGAGGGCTGACGACCGCACAGCTTCCACCAGCTGCTCATAGAACACCTCATCTGTCTCTTCATCCTGGTTCGGTAGCAGATGCCCACCAAGATGTCTGTTTTGTCAGCCTTTCCCCTGATCTTTACCCATAGGGATTCAACTTTATCATCCCCAGCCTCAAGCTCAATAACATCAAAGCACTCTATAATATAAGGAACCACCCCGCCACCCCTCCTTCCTCACCTGTCCTTCCTGAAGAGCTTATAGTCAGCCATCGCAGCACTCCAGTCATGAGAGTGGTCCCATCATGTTTCTGTAATGACAACTAGATCATAGTTAGCCTGCTGCATAGTGGCTTCCAACTCTTCTTGTTTCTTGCCCATGCTGTGTGCATTGGTGTAGATGCACTTCAGCTGAGCCCCTCGCCTCACCCCTAATCCCATTACCACTCCCCCAGGCTCATTTCTAGCGGGCCTGGTTTTATCCCTTTTCCCCTTCATATCTAGTTTAAAGTCCTCTCTACAAGTCCTGCCAACTCCTGGGCAGGGATCCGTTTCCCCCTTTGGGATAGATGATAACCATCGGCAGCCCTCATACCAGGTGCCGAGTAGACTGCTCCATGATCAAAGAACCCAAAAAAACCAATATTCTTGTGTTTGCAGACACAGCTCTTTGCAATCTATCCACTTCCTAACATAGAGGGCAACTCCGCCACCCCTCCTACCCTATCTGTCCCCTCTGAAAAACCTTTAGTCCTCAATCAGGGTATTCTAATCATAGGATTCATCCCACCATGTTTCTGTAATAGCAATTAGGTCATACTTTCCCAATTGCACCACAGTTTCTTGCTCCTCCTGTTTATTTTCCATGCTGCACACATTGGTACAGAGGCACTTCAACTACTGGCCTCGTTGCCTTCTCAGAGCAGCCCTCCCTAATATCTTCAGGACAAGTCTGGGGTTTTCCCTTACTGCCTGCCAAGGTGACAGCATTCCCACGTGCTTCTCTGTCACCCAGTACACCCCTTTCCCCCATCATATCTAGTTTAAAGACCTCGTAACCAGCCCAGACAGCTTGTTCCAAAGAATATTTGTGGCCCTTCTAGTCAGACAGTCAGCTCCCGTCCACTATCAGCATTCCCCCTTTCTCAAGGCTGCATCCCAGGCCATAGAACACCATTTGCATTCATTCAGCATGTCCACCCTCCTCCTTTTGTGCAGATTCCAGTCACCAACTGAGAGGACAAAGGAGAACACAACTTGCACTCCTGATCCCTTCAGCAATCTGCCCAGAGCCCTGAAGTCCCTTTTGATCACCTGAGAACTTCTTTTGCCTCCTCTTCATTTCCAATGTGGAAAACCAGTAATGGATAATAATTGGAGAGCTTCACCAGGTGAGTGCTGTTCCTAGCAACATCTCTCACCCAGGCACCAGGCAGGCAACACACCTCTCTGTGGGACGGGTCTGAGCAGCATATCAGGCCCTTGGTTCCCCTCAGAAGGGAGTCCCCTATGATGACAGCCCTTCTTTTTTTCCTGACTGACGTAGCAAAACGGGGAGCAGACTAACTAGCCTTGGGCAACCTCTCTGCATGGATGGACTTTCACTGACATCCACAACTGACAGTCCATCCAGCTCCAGAGCCTCATACCTGTTACGTAAGGGCACCTGGGAAGGTGGGACAGGCTGAGGGGCAGTCTGCTTGTTGCCCCGAACAGGGACTTATTTCCATCCCTTGCTGTCTTTGAGGTCGCCCCTTTCCACCTGACTGTGAGACAGCAGATGACCCCCCACTGCTTCAGGAGCATCTCCCCCACAACCCTCCTGCAGGGATGGCAGTTTATGACTCCACCAATCAATCCCCTTCCCACAATCCCAGATGCTCCTCAGCCTTTCTACTTCCTCCTTTAGCTCTACCACCAGGCTGAGCAGATCATCCACCTGTTCACACTGCACACAGGTGGTATCCCAGCTGCCCTCCTGTAGCAGCAACAGAGCCAGGCATTCTCTGCAGTCTGAGACCTGAACTGTGGCATGGACATTCATGCTTTCAGTCTGGATCTCTATGTTCCTTTTTGCAGCAGCTCGCCACCGTGCGGTGACCATAGTTACACCTTGCTGTGTCCAGAGAACAATGACTGTTTCACTTCGTCTGAACAGCACGTGTGATTCACCCCGACTCCTCCTCTCTATCCCCATGGCTTTTTCTAGGCAGAGGGTGTGGATGCAGACCTGTTGTCCTGGCAACACCCACTTCACTTCAGCTGCTCTTGAGAGCTGCCTGGCTGCTCTGTTATCTAGGAGTTACCTGTATGAAGGAACTGACTGAAACCCCCTGTAACTTGTGGTCAGTCACTGCGATTCTGGCTGGGACAGCTCCGAAGCAGCGAACCTTGGCGATCAAGGGCTTCTTCCAGGTTTGATTTTGTACCCTTCTAATAAAATGTTACAGGTGATGCCCTGTGTTAGTCTATGCTAATTTGCTTTTAGCTGTCCTGTTCTAAGACAAGCTTATCCCTCTACCCAGAGAAGCTGTGGGTACTCCACGCTGGAGGCACTCAAGGGCAAGTTGGATGGGGCCCTGGGCAGCCTGAGCTGGTGGGTGGCAGCCCTGCCCATGGTGGGGTGTTGGAACTAGATGACCTTTAATGTCCCTTCCAACCCATGCTATTCTATAATTCTTTTATTTTAGGATGGTGATGGGAAGGGCTATGCTTGAGGTTTTTCCAAGTGCTAACATTAAAGCTGAAAAGTGCAGCTAATTATCCATAAACCAGAATACATTTAACCAGATGATTAATCTGTCAAAAAGAAGAACAAAATGTTCAGGAGATGAGCACAGTTGTTTTTAACACTATTAAACAAACTACCATCATCACAAGTATTGGCATCAGTTCTGTTTGTTGTGGGTTATGTGACTGGTTGTGCTCTATGTCCCCCCTCCGCCCACGTACCCAGCATGCAGGCTATGACTGCACGCAGGAGCGCCAGCTCCAGGCTTGTTTCAGAGAGCAGCCAGACACAGTTAAGGCTTGCCATGGCACCACACTGCTGGAAGTTACTGCTGCTGTTGCTGCCCATGTGAGTGCAAGGATAGCCAATAAACCAGGTGATTACACAGTGGGTTTGGATGCTGTCTGACTGGAAAAGCTCTGTCCAGTGGAGGAGCCCAGTTACTATGTAGGTCCCTCTGAAAGTAATGCCCCCTATTTATTTCCATGTAAACTACAAAGATACAAAGAGCACAATAATAATATTTGATAAAGCAAATTCTTAGCAACAAACACTATTTTTCAAAAAGTCACTACCATTATCTATGCATTTTCACCAGTGATGAACGAGAGCCTGCATGCCCCTTTTGTAAAAATCTGTACCACTGGAGGTGACCCACTGTCGCCACTGATGCCCACACCACGCACCGCCTCACGGTGCTCACATGCACTGTTTGGTCTCCATCAGCATTCTGCAAGCATCAAATGGATGTCAGTGTGTGCCATCTTTTCTGCATGGAGGAATTCAGTGACACACCTTTGCTTCATACATACTTCCGTGTCAGACACCGTTTGTCAGACTGCCCCTCTGCTGCCATCTATTGCACAGCAACAACATGTAACAGATTATTGTTGGGAAGGTTCAGCCTCTACTGCCATACCACCTCTGATGTTGCAGGCCAACAAAGAATCATAGGATCATTTAAGTTGGAAAGGATCTCTAAGATCATCTAGTCAACCATCAACCCATCACCACCATGCTCCTAAACCACATCCCCATAACTCATCAGTTATGCAAACAGAGTCCTGGTGTGACGAGCAGTGTTTCATACAGAGGTGTGGGAAAGGCGCCTAGCGATTCCTCCTCACACTATGATTCAGATTCTAGAAGGCTGGTGAAGCTCAGGGACCCTGGGATGAACCTGCAGATGCCCTAGAGCCTCCCGGCAGCAGTAAGGAGACACCCAGGGCCCAACAAGCTCTGATTCCCCACAACCCACATCAGGCCTTGCCACAGACAGCTGCCACTCGCTATATCAGCCTGATCAGGGTCCCATCCAACCCGGCCTTGAGAATGTAATCTAATATAAATATAAAATAAAATAAAATTATACAGAAGTGCAGAGCTTCTGCAAGCAGCATGGGGGAACAGGCCCCGCAGCCTTCCCACCTCCTTCCCCCTCCTCGTGCCGTCCCTTCCGAGGCGCTCCTCCTCCCCCTGCAGCGCTGCGGACGAGGCGACTATTCGGGCACGGCCGGGCTGGGCCAGGCGCGCTCCGCCGCTTCGCCCCCTGCCCCGCCCCACAGCCCGCTCGGGGCGTAGCTTCGGCGCTCCGCCCCGGGGCGGCTCGGAGTAGGCGGGCGACTCCACCGTCCTTCCCCGCCCCGCGGGCTGACCCCGCTCGGGAAGGCGGTGCGGTGCAGAGCTGCAGCGGGGCCGAAGCGGAGCGGAGCGCGGTAGAATGCGCGCGTAGCGGCAGCCCCGGCTCCGCCACCCAGTTGAGTGCAGGCCCCGCGGCCGCGCCTCCGCCGCGGTGTCCGCCATGGAGAAGCCGGGGGAGGGAGAGCCGCTCTCCCACCCGCTGGAGCAGCAGCCCGAGCCGCCGCCGCAGCCGCCTGGGGAGAAGCGCTTCAGGCTGTGGTACGTGGGCTCGGCGTGCCTGGACCGGCGCACCACGCTGCCCATGCTGCCTTGGCTGATGGCCGAGATCCGGCGGCGCGGACAGCGGCAGGAGCCCGGCGGCGCGCTGGGCGGCGGCGTGCCGGCCCGCGAGGTGCTGCTGCTGCTCGGATCGCCCACGCTGCGCTGCGTGCCCGCCGGCCCCGCCAGCCCCGGCCCCGGGCGGCCCGCCAGCCCCGCGCCCGCCGTCTTCATCTTCGAGCACAAGGCGCAGCACATTGCCCGCTTCATCCACAACAGCCACGACCTCACCTACTTCGCCTACCTGATCAAGGCGCAGCCCGACAACCCCGACTCCCCCATGGCCTGCCACGTCTTCCGGGCCACCGACCCCAACCAGGCGAGTGGGGCTACGGGGCGGGAGCGGTGCCTGGGACTGCGAGGTGCCGAGCGACCCCCGCCCCGTGCAGGGCGTTCAGGACCCTTGGTGGGCAGGTCGCGTTGCCCCGACCGCAGTGTGGCGTGGGAGCTGGGCAGTCGGGCGGTGCTGAGCACCGGTGGTGGAAACTGTTTTTTTGGGGCCCGGCGGGTCATGCTAAGGACACCTGGCCGTGCTCAGGCACACTCCGGCAGCCCTGGGTCTGGGTGGAGGCAGTGCTGGGAAAACGCCAGCTGGGAAAAAAAAAAAAAAAAAAAAACGAACAGTAGGGCTCTTTTTCTGCCTCTTGAAAGGGCTTTGGCTCACACATCACATGTGCAGGAGCAGCTCCTAGAGGTGTGACAGGCAGGTTCGGCCATTGGTTTAGCATAGCGACAGCAAAGGCCTTTAGACAAGAGTACTTGGTCTGAGTAAGGCGAGACACCTTTCCCTGTTTTTTCAGAGGCAAAGAAAGTCTGTGACCAAAAAAAAAAAAAAAAAAGCACTTTAAAAAGTGGAGGAAAACAAGAAGGATGTGGAAGGAGTATAGTGATAGGACAAGGTGTAATGACCTTAAGCTAGCAGGGAGGAGATTTAGATTAGGCGTAAGGAAGAAATCCTTCATTGTGAAGGCGGTGAGGCACTGGCAGAGGCTGCCCAGGGAAGCTGTGGGTGCTGCATGTTGAAGGTGCTCTGTGCCAGGTCGGATGGGGCCCTGTAGCCTCACCTGCTGAGTGGCAGCCCTGTCCATGGCAAGGGGTTGGAACTAGTTGAAGGCCCCTCCAATCCAAACCATTCTATGAAAAACACATGCAAGTAGAAATACTACAATTTACCAAAACCAGAGGGCGTACCAAAAGTTTTTAGTGTATTTATTTTGATTTGAGCAAAGACGCTGCCAGAGCTTGTTATGTTATTGAGATTTAGATTGTGTATGTAGCTGTAGGTTGTTCTGCCTTCTGGGACAGGACAGGAGGCATCCCAAGCAGAGGTGACTGTTTAGCTTGTTGGCAGCTGCAGCCCTGCTGAGCTCTGCCAGGAGAAGGGGTCAGGAGGAAGCACGCGTAAGGAGCGTGGAAAGGAGGCATGATGGCTGGTGAGTGTGCAGCCAAGATGTCCTTTTATGAGTGTCACCATATGGGCTGAAGGAACCGAGACTGCTGGCAGGATGCCTTGGATTGAGCATTATTTATTGGAATAGCTCTGGTCTGGTGCCGTGATGTGGGACCTTGTGCTGTGAAGTACTGGCTATAAATTACTCTTGCATGTAGTATTTCTCATGGTTGCATTTACACTGAAGATGCTCTTTTTGATTAAACCATTTATCTTTATGTCTTTGTTCCTTGAAGAGCACGTCTTTATGTGCATAGCAATAGTGCAAACTGATACTACAGATAAAGACTTAATATTTAAGGAAGGTGTTATTCTGAATCCATTCCCTTTGTAAGTTCCTATCTTGTTCTGACAACATAGTCTAAGTTTTATCTGCGATATACTTTTTTTAACCTTTTAACCATTAATAAAGAATAGGAGGTCCTCAGACAAGGATTGCTTGGCTCAGGCTCCTAGGCAGATGAGCCCTAACGGGGATAGTAAATGCACAGCCAGTGTTTCAATTCATGGGTTTCTAACAGACATTTTTTCAGGTACCAAAAAGGAAATAATGCAGAAACTTATTTCCTTCCTAAGTTATGTTACCAACTGGAGGGGCTTGGTTGGCTCAGTCTGTGCAGCTCTCTGTCCCGGGTCTCTGCTTATTCTCAGTTCTGAGTGGATGCAGCCAGGCTGCAAGTTGCTAGCTCCTAAGGTCTTCTTTTGGAGCTCATTTATTATAAAACAGGTGGTGTTCTTGCACATTTTCAAGATCTTTACATGTGTACACACTTCATCAGAAGTGCATGCTTCTGATTCATTGTGGCTATGAGCTTCATGGTGCATATTAGTTTAGAAATTAATCTGTTATTTTAAGGTGACTTTGTTTTCGATCTTGGGCTGTGATTCCTTCCAGTCAGCACAAGCTGGCACTGCTGCTGAGAGAAGGGGTCCTGCTCTCCTCCCCTCAGCTGCTCACCCCTTCCTTCTGGCCTTGTCCTTGTGCCAGCACAGTATGCACAGTGAACAGGGGATTTGCCAGGTTGGCTTCTGAACACTTTTCTTGAAGCATGGTATTATTGGTGTGGTGGTTCAGAAGCACACTGTAGTCACTGTGGATGAAGGAAGGATGCAGGAGCTGTTTTGTGGTCTGTGGATTAGAAGACAACTGTCCATCATTTTCACTGGTGAATGAAGCCATCAAAGTAAGATGGCAGCAACTGGCTTTCAAGATAATAGTGCTGGTGAAGTAATTCAAGATGCAGCATGGTGGAAATTTTGGCTTTGAGCCCATTGCTTTGCCCACCAGGTATGTTCCACCATGTCTAAGGTGCAAGTGCATTCTCCGTTACCATGAAATGAGCTGTTACTCATGAAGGAAACCAATATGTCATTCCAATTCCTGCACATTTTTAAAGTAGATGATCAATCAAAAGCCAATGCAGCATATGTTCTGATAACATCAGGTAGGAAGACAGCATCTTTTAATGTTATTTGTCTCGACTGAAGAACATACTGGTGTGAGGTGGTACATCCTTATGTTCTATTTGAAAACCTGCAACTTGTGGGTAGAGCAGAAAAGCAGGAGTCATTGGATGGATTCCTGTTTTGGAGCAGTACCTTGGCCTCAGACCAGAGCTCAGCAGTCTGTATGGGGGTGAATGCTAAGATACTTTTAATAGGGGGTCCCTTTCTTTTACTCTTTGACTCCAAGGGGAGGGAAAGCTCCTGTAGCTCTTTGGCTGGCTGGAGTGGGAACAAAAGTTTTTTATTCTTTTCCTCTGGAATTACTGCAGTGTTTGCTGCTCCTGATAACTTTTGAAAGCAGCAGCCAGCTGAAGTAGGTAAGGGTAGTTGTCTGGCTTAGTGCTGGCAAGCAGCTTCTTTAGCAGCAGCCAGAGATGTTTGTTCTGTGCTGCTGTCATTTGAGAATTATGTAGGATGTACAGAGTCTGTCTGTAGACTTAGATGACAGCATTGTCTCTTTTTAAATCTGGCAGATTTTTTTCACAACCACAGGAACAGATCGGGTTTTTTTGGTTGTTGTTGTAAAGCAAGTTAGTTTCTAAGTAGAGCAGGCATACCTTGCTGTCAGCCACCAAGAAAAGCCCTTTT